AATTTTCAGCCTTTTAGCTTTTGTGGATCTCGAGATGAAAACTCGTTACAGACGCACACACAGACATACACACCCTCGACAATATGCGTTTTTGCATTGCATAGCTACAAAAAACGCATACTGATGGGAGAGGTTCGTGGCGTATTCCGGTTTCAACTCAGCAGCCACTGAGGCTGTGAATCTGTAATCTTGCAGATTCCCAGCCTCACTGGCTGTAATTTATCGGCTAAAGGAAGTGCTACTTGAAAAGTGTAAGCCGCCAGATCTGACCATAAATATGAGATTTAGCTTCCACTGTACCGAATGTTTGCATAGATTAAGTAAATTAGCCTGTTCAGGTATGCGCCTTATCCACCTTACAAGGGTTCGGAAGCAACACTTCATCCGAACAATTTTGCACGTCAACTCAGAGATGAAGGTACGTCTTCTCGTAGCAAACATTAAAATTTTTTGTTGCGTTGTACGCAAATAGATGCGGATGTCCTGCTCTACTCCTCTACCAACATTTTTAGGATTGACACAGACACAGCGTGAAGCGAACAGGCATCAAAATCCCCTTACCGACACCAACCCACAAACCTTGCAAAAAATCTCCAAAATCAGCCAACAGACAGCTCGCACAGCGCCATCTGTCAAGGAAATTGACTATCTTACCGAGAAAATGATGCATGGCCTCCACACCGGACAATAAACTTACTGAATTATTCGAGGTATGCGCCTCCTTGTATTTCTTATTCTGCAACAAAGTAAAAGCTCTCACTGCGCTTAATTAGAGCATTATCAAGAAGCGTGGGAGCAGCCGCAGTAGCTACAACAGTTGATGCAAAGCAGCGTTCATAGCAGCTTTCAAAAGCACTACGAAGTTTTCGCCTCTCCGCCGCTCGTCCCTCGCAGTGAGATCTCGAAGTCATGGGCGGATACAAGTATCATGGCATTTAGTGCCGGTAAGTCAAAACGCCCTCTGATGAAGCTGAATACGTGTACGGTGTTGGTCTGAAGACCGAGTAGCTCTAGTAGCAGAAAGATGTTGAACGGCTGCATATTAGCAACATTAACAATCCCGCATTGGTAGCCAAACGGTACCGGTATCTTGTTTGCAAGTGAATAGGCTATTTCAAGCAGGCGTACCTAAATGCAATTACACAAGTCGTGAATTTGTAACGAAAAAAAAATTTGAGGTGAAGAACACTATTGATGCCGAGCATCCTGGCGTATCGATAATGAAGTGGAATTTTGTACATAGTTTTCGATATTTTAACTTGTATTTCTAACACAGTTATATACAGTAATGTATTGAATAGAATTTGTACCGAAAAATTTTCGGCCAAATTTCCTAATTTGTCTTCCAGCACATTCGTCAAAATTCAGCGCATGCTTTGGTTCCGAAATTTCTGCACTTTTGAATGTTTTTCAAAATTTTTAAGCCCTCTGAGTGAATGTTTTCAAGTGACTTTAAGTTTATTATGCGCCGAAACATACTATTTTTGGGAACTGAACGCAACTTGTATCGTATCGTCTCAATATCCTAGCACTTTGTATCAGCGATATTCGAGCGCATTTCTATGCCTGTAACAATCTGTCGATTGTCTGTCACTTTGCACTGCGCTTCTTTTGACGCACACTTCTCCGGCCTGTTATATTATTGCAATAACTACGAATATATTTTGTGTGCGCTGTATTTCAGAGTATCTACTAGAAATTTGCGCCTATAGAAGCACTGGCACTCTTGTGGGTTGATGTATCTGCAATTACTCTATAGCAAAAGTTTCATTTTTGCAGGAAAAAAAAAACCCCAAATTTGATCTGTCTTTATTTCATCCAGCACTCACAAATACTGAACTGTACAAAATTTCTCCCAAATTTTCTATAAAAAATGAAGTTGACAGGAAACGTGTCATATGGTAACAATCAAGGAAGTGAACAAAACTACTCAGCCAACAAAACGCTCGCACATCGGTCTAAAATGAGAAGTGCCGCTAGACAGTACCAGTAGCGTAAAAAATTAGAGATAAGCTTCTGAATTTGACAGGAAGATCCACCAAACGTGCGATTTCCTGTTCGTTAAATACGCAGCAAATGAAGCGACTGGTCAAATCTGTTACTGGTGGAATATCACTATAATCGCTAGAATAATTAAAATCTGCAGGGTTGCTGGTTATTTTGTGTCAGGTGACTCAAAAGTACCACGGCGCCCACTTCGGAGAAGAACAGTAGGATCGTCTCAGAACTGTTCACGCAAACGCAGCATGGCAGTTGATCCAGAACCTGTGGACATGCCATGACTATCCTATTGGCTTGGTCTTAATTCAAAAAAACAAAAAATTATTTTTTAAAAAGACATAGCACGCACCTTTCTGATTTCTTAAAGTGGTTTGGCTGACCACCAGCTGGATCCTATGACCTGTAAGCATAATTCTCACACACGCATGCTTTTTACCTCTTGGAACTTTTGAAATGCCCGGATTGCAAAAATGCACCCAAAATGGCAGTCTGGGTTGCATTTGAGCAAGTGGAGTGAAAACTGGATTTAAGTTGGGATGAAAAAGCATGAAAAACTTGAAATTTAGCGAAATCGTACTATAACTGTTTAGAAAACGCGCATAAACGAACCCAAAAACTCTGAAAAAAGATGGATTAAGAGCTACTATTTCTGCACAGGCAAAAATTTGTTTCTGTTAGAACGGGAAAAGGCGACGATGATGTGAGAAGCAGCTGACAAGGTGTTTTGCTACTTGTGCTCATACAGCTCTGTTCTACTGTAGTCGCTCAGAATATCATAAGCGGCTAAATCAAAAGCCTGAAAAGCTTACCTTGCAGAATTAAGTTCCTGCTTCCACTTCTGCTGAATGGTGCGAAGTGCATTCAAGGGTGCAACCACCCGTACGAAGTGTGTAGATAAACGTATGACCGAAGGTATTAGTCCGAAGCTACGTAAAGGCTACTTCTGTACTGCCAAAGAGGTCGCAACAGCCCGTGTTTCTCCCAGTGTTTGAAAGGCCAGTAGGAGCGCATTGATAACCCACGTGCCTAACAAACCTGAGAAAGCTTTCACGAGCTCACTGCAGACGGAGCATAAACATTGGCCATAAAAAAGAACAAAATAACGGTTTTTAGGAAAAAGCCCAGTATCCCGAACCACCGTTTCTCCGTTGTGTTGAGATGAATTTGTAATCGCTCATAAATCTTGAACGCCACTATCAACTTGTGTATAAGCAACTTTCGAAAGAAGCCATCGCCAACAGATGCTTGATATTTGCAACTGCTGGCCTCAGGAAACCTCCGATTAACTCCTCTCACAGGAAGGATTGCGGAGGAAATTTTGAGTTTGAGTTGACGTTTCGAACAAGTCTAATGAAATTTAGACCCGTTTTATCGGTGAAATTACGGATATTTTTTTCCAAAAAATCGAAAATAAGTTTTTACGAGACTACTAGAACTCAATTCAGCCAGTTAACCAAAATTCATTTTTAAAGTGTTAATTGTAAGGAAGTTGATAAATCGAGCTGATAGGGTGTGTGTGTTTATGTGTGTTTGTTTGTTTGTATATGTGCGAGTGTGTTGCGTGTGTATGTTTGATGGTAAATGAGCGAGAAGATAAAAATTTTCTACAAAACTGGCGGAAAGGAGAAAAGTAAGGTTGAGTCTGTGAAGGCAATAGATGCAATTCGCGGGTGCCTTAACATTTACGAAGACAAGCATGTGGAATTGCTAGCAAAGGTCCCTCGGAATTCCTGACACAAAAATGTCAACGGCGATTGCTGGGAAGGCAGTTCAGTGATAGCATCATTGGTCATGCAAAATCATCAGTTTCTCGAAACTGTTCCAGAATTTATTCTCACGGAGGTGCGCTGCATCAAAAGCAATTTTAGGTGATTTTGTGACAGTGGACATCTTTGCTTCACGCCAAAGGAGGACATATTTGGCGCACGACTTGCACAATGCCATTTTTTTCTGCTTTTAAAAAAGCAGCGCGATAAAGGTACTGACCAAAAAAAAGAAATCAGTTTGTCTGAGGGAAGTGAGGCATAACAGACTAGAGTAACTGCAGACATTCGCTAAAAGTTGGATTATTAGCAAGGAGGAAGTATATTTTGTGGGACAAGACGAATGCTGAACAATTGGCCAATATTTTTATTGAAGCAGGAGTAAACTTGGCGAATGGTTCTGAAGGTTGCGGTTGGCGTGGGAACCACGTGGCGATAATGAGCATGCAGACTGTGATAATGATGGCGAAGAAATCTGGAGAGGCGTCGACGCCAGAGTCTGTAGTAGTGGGAGGAAGATGCGTTTTTGCCGCAGACATCTAGCGATTGAGTTTTGAAAACAAAGTTGCTTTATAGGCACTGCTTTTGTATCGTTTCAAAAAGCGTTTTTGAAACCAAATTGTAATGCTAGCTGCCGACGGTTGGTGTTCGCCTTCTTACAGAGTTCGGGAGGAAACATTTTTGGATGACTCAGTATCGAGAATTCTGAATCAGCAACAACTCCGCCTGCTCTCTCCTTCGTCCAATACCCGGAATCAGCCAACACGCACTGCTTCCAGGAAAATATAATCGCTTAAATAAATAAAATAAAATTGGCCTTTTTGCGTTACATTTTGTTTTTTGTACTGCGCCCGAAGGCATCACAAAATGTTGAGGATAGTGTGCTCTAATTCTTTTCATATCCAGAAATGCCAAAATGATAACACATCGACAGCCACACACAAACACAGGCATACAGTACATACTCATGCCAGTCGCTGTGTATGCACACAGAAAACGGAACACTATGACGTTTATTTCGTGAAGAACAAAGTTGGGAAGTAATTAACATTTTTGCTGCAGCTGTTATCCTGGGATTGCCGAATACAAACCAAACAAGCTATTCGGTCAAATCAGCCAGCCGAATAAAGTCGGCTTTTCACATGTTGATCAGTTCTGAAGCATAAAGAGGCTATAAAAATTGGATCACGAGCCATTTCAGGATAACTACTTCAGGATCCTGAAAATAGAAAATCAAAGATTATGCAACTGTTATCCCTAGAGCGATTTACACTAGGCGCATTCATGATTCGCGCACCTTAGGGAATACTTTTGTCTAGGATTGTTTATTGTCTTTTAAAAAACGCGCTTAACATTCTGTTAGGATTATCTTTTAAAAAATTCGAAAGAAAAACACAAATATTGTTACTGAAGTGAAATCCAAACAAAGTATATGCACAGACTTCAAAAATAACAACTGCTTTTGAAGTGCTGATGATGGATAGTGCTTGCGTAGGAGTTAAGGGGGCGCTAGATTTGTTCCGGTGAGTAAATTACGCACAAAAATGTAGGGGAACACCTTCGATATGTCATCGTTGTTCATTAGCGTCTGAAAAAATAAATGGTTTTGACAGCAGTGACACAGCTGCAACCCTTGAACATCAGTTGCTTGGAACTGCATCCTAAAGTTGCACATGAACTAGAAGAACCCTTGCAAAATTACAGCCAGTGAGACTTGGAGTCTGCAAAATTACAGATTCCCAGCCTCACTGGCTGTTGAGTTGAAATCGGGATACACCACGAACCTCTTCCATCATTATGCGTTTTTGTGCTTTTTTGTATATATGCAAATTGCAAAAAAGCATATTTGTAAGAGGCTGTCTTTGTGTGCGTGCGTCTGTGTATCTGCACTTTCTGTCACCCACTTTCAACTCGAGAACCAGAAATTCTAGAAAGCTGAAACTTCGGGAGTATGTGGCCAACACCTGTGCGATCCTCCCTTTTTGACATCATCATCCCCGTACGCTTGGGTGCCGCGTACGGATGCCTTAAAAAATTTGCAAATTTTTTGACGGGAAAGCGATCTCGGGGACCACTCAAGATAGGGAGCTCAAACTTTGCAGGGATATTTTCTATACATCTGCGAGCTGAAGATTTCAAATTCGGCTCCTAGGTGTCCGTAGTTCACAAATGCGAGCACGTAGAAATTTTGACGGGAAAATTGCTAACTCGAGAACGAGAAAAGTTAGAAGGCTGAAATTTTAAGGCAGTGTTTCTTACTCATGCGCGACTAAAAGATTTCATATTCAACTCTTCTAACGGGATCTTTTTCGCACCAGCAACCATCCATTTCTCGGTTACTGAAGTCGGCATCTACAACTGGCGTGCAATGTAGTGGCACAGTTAACTTCCTGAACTTCAAGGCCCAGTTTGTTGCAAATTCTAGCCACTGTGATTCCTTGCGACTTTGCTACAGCACGAAACAGTGCAAAAACATATGCTCGCACTGGCTAGTTTTGTGCGTTCCAGCCTGGGTTACATTTTATTCAAGCGTAAAAATCCAGATTCATTTCATCAAGACGTACAAGCAACTCGCCGCGACGACTTTATGCTTTGTTTGCAAAAAGTTACAGGAATATAGATGTTCTGGTTAACATGGATCCAAACGTGCTCTGACATTTGCAACAGTCTGGTTAGTGCCGATGTCCAGCGGGAGATAAGTTAAGGTGATTTTAAGCCAAGTAGAAGGCATTAAGAGTATTTGTTTGTTTAAACACAGCTGACACAGACAGTGTCAGTCAGTCCAGAGTAGGCAGTCAAGCATGTTAAACATTATCATTACCAGTGGCAACAACGTAACCCATTATTGCCGACGTCGTTGATTACAATGTTAGCGATAACAGTTACGTTGATGGGACTGGTAATGATAATGTTTAACGTGCTAAAGCAACGATCTGATGACAACGGCCAGCGCTGATGATAAAAATCAAAGAGGTCGAGAGAGGTTGTGAAGCACCAAACTGCGGTGACGATATACACATAATTTACGCCTACCCGCATCAAACGGTTGCCGCTGGCAAATGGCAATGAATGCTTTGGCCTGGTCCGAGTGAACACGGTTGTCTGTGAAGCAGCTCACTTGGTCACCCGCTTTATCGCTGTGCTTATCTGCCAGCCGACGGACGCCGTTCTGTAATCATTAGGTGCTCCAGTCGCTCCTCCACTGTTTTCCACTTCTCGTCACTTCTGAATGCTTGACAATCACATTCCAGCCGAAATGGAAGGCAACAATAAATGCCCATCGCCACTGATACGATGCCAGCCTGTTACTGCTAGCGATAAACGAAAATCTGTAAGTCTTTCAAGACAGTCCTTAAGGTACCAATGCCAAACTCAGAAGCAGTTTCCGAAAAAATGCTTCTAGAAATCAAAGCTGCTAATTTTTACTGACCTATTCATAACGGTAACTTTCCAGGATTTCATGATACAAATTGAAAATGGCTCCGAAATGCAGAAAAAGTTCTCCGATTTGGAAAAACTGTACGACGCACTTCGTCAAGATGGTCTTATTCCAGATAGCACTACGCCACCGCCAAAAAGGAAATTTCTAGAAGCTGAAACCAAACTGACTGACAGGCGAAAAGTGTGGATTAGAAGCTTTGTACAACGTCTCCTCATCAGTCTTTCGCACAAGCAAGTTTTTTCTGCTTTGCAGTGAAATTAAGAACCATGTTCGAGCGAGATTAAATCTTTTAAGAAATCGCGAAACCAGCGTACCAAGGACTTGAATTTGAAATCTTTAAGTGTTACGTGGACGGGAAATATCCCTGTTAAAATTTCAGCTCTCCAGTTTTTCTGCTTCCTGACTTAGCAGTTGTCTTACTAAGACTTTCGCATGCTTGGATGTAGGGCTCAGACTTTTCTGGAGTCATACGCAGCTAAGGAACTTTTAGTAGGCGTTGTAGTTTCATTATTGGACCAGAATCATTTTCTAGATTTTTTCACTTCCAGCCTCCTAGCTCAGTGCAAGTGCACTAGCGCCTAACGCAGTGTATTCGCCTTCGAATTGGCGCATATGGCATGTAAATTTTAGAAATTCAACTGTATGGCAAACGTAAAAAAAAAATTCGAGAGCTAATTCCTCGAGGTCACAGACTTTGCCTTTTGGGACGATGATACCGCTAGTAGAGGAGCAACTACAAAGCTTCTGCGTTGTTTGCGTTGAATTTTCCAGGACCGAAAGGTCTGGCAAAGCTACGCTCAGCGTGTGTGAACAGTAACATCACTAGCATAGGACTCCACCATTAACTGCTTGGCTGGCCTCAGTAACTGGGTATTAATAATATTGTTACTGTTTTTAATAATATTACCGTTATTGTCAACGTTATTGTTTCAACATCTACCAAATTTAAGTAATTTAATTTATAGCGATCTGGTACAAAGATGCTTCAAACTTAGCGATAACGACGGATGTAAAAACGAAGTAATCAATTTGGGACCGACGGAAGTAAAAAGGTTGGTTTGTTGGGCAATTGCACAGCCAGGATTTTTTTGAACAAAGAAGAAATAACCAGCGAACAGTGAAATTAAAATCTAATAAAAAGTAAACCCAGGCTGGAATGCACCAGGGTTGCCGGCGCGATCATGCGTTTTTGCACCACACTTGATTAACTGCATGAATGCTGTAGTTTTTTTCCTGTCTTTTTGCGCTTACTAGCGTTAGTCATCGTAAATTCTGCACAAAGAAAATAAACAATTTCCGTTTAACGGTCGTTCTTTGAAAATGACCTAGCTGTTTAGTGAACAATTTTCTCGCCAAAACTTTTAAGTGCCTATACGTGAAAGCCATGCATACCTGGAGGCTGAGTTTGAAATATTTAAGTTCTACCTAGACAGGGAACATTCCCCTAAAACTTCAACTTTCTAACTTTTCTGGTTCTTGAGTTAAAAATTTTCCCGCCAAAACCTTCACATGTCCGTACGAGGGCACTGTGCGTACCGGGGAGTTGAATTTGAAATTTTTAAGTTGTATGTAGAAGGGGAATATACCTTTAACATTCCAGTGTTCCAGCTCTTCTGGTTGCAGAGTTAGCAATTTCTCCACCAAATCTTTCGCGTGCCCGTGCGTGAGAACCACGAACAACTGACAGCTGGATTTAAAATTTTTAGCTCACACATGCACGGAGAATATCCCTGCAAAGTTTCAGCTCTCTATCTTGTCTGGTTCCCGCGATCACTTTCCTGTCTAAAAATTTGCACATTTTTTTGAAGTGTCCGTACGTAGGACCCAGGCATACGATGACGATAATATTAAAACGAGAGAATCGCACAGGTGGTGGGCACACACTCCTGAAGTTTCAGCTCTTTAGATTTTTTGGTTCCCGAATTAAAAGAGGGTGACAAAGAGTGCAAACACATAAACACACACACACACACACAGCTTCTTGCCAATGTGCGTTTTTATGCGTTTTTGCATATATGCAAATTGCAAAAACGCATATTGGGAAGAGGCT